ATATTTCCTCATCACCGACCCTGCCTACCTTGAATGAATGAATATATGTATGTGGACTATCCATATATATATATATATTAATCTAAGGTGAGTATCCATTTCATGACTCATCTACATTCGCAAGGTTTCTTACTACATGCTTTATTGCATGCACGCTTTCATCTGGAAACCACAGATCCAAAGCAAAAGCCTCCATGGACATGGTGAACAGGTTTCGATGTCTTTTCGAAATGGATAGACTAACAAATGAGATATCAAGACCAAATTTACCATATCCTTCACGAGAGTCAGACCCCTCTGCTGCCTTGAATTACGGGTTCCTGTTCCTTTTGCTGCTTTTCCATGGTTCCATCAAGCTGTGAGCAAGAAAGGAAGCCGCGGGTTGGACCACAAAGCGACGACTTCGCCTGGAAGACCATGACAGTGACCCAGGTACGTGTAGCTTGATACACAACTCTTGTAACTATCTGTTTAGGGAGTTCAACAAATGCAGCCACGCTAGCTGCTAGCTTGATAGATCGAACACGGAGCAATGAACCAACATCTATAGTGATGCTTTCAGATGTAGAGTGTTCTCCTCTTCTGTAATATCGATTTGCCATGGAATCTTCGAGTACAAAGCACATGCTCAGCCCTGTACTTTGAATCGCGCTCAGCTGGGACTTGAGCTGCTTGATCTTGATGACCTCAGGAGCTCGGCGGATCTGTTCTGTTTCTGGTCCAGATTCGGAAGTTGAATGCAATTAGTTGAATCCAGCTGGATTTTAGCTGACATTAGCTGGAAGTCTGGGTCAGGAGGCCTGAGGTTAGCTCGTCTTGGACCAGAAAAAGCGGGTGCAGGTCACCTAACTCGGAGGATTCGCAGCCTTTGGAGCAGTGTTTCTGGTTCGGAGCCGCAGAGACCAACTTCAAGGAATACTAACATGGAAGTGGGAAAAAAAAGAAAAAAACAACCTCTTTGGTGTTCGGAATTCATGGTCATCCAAATGGCCATGCCATCCATGTAACCAAGATGAAGACTCAGGGAATGTAACCACGGTTCAGGGAGTGTCTATCTCTCCATCCATCCAAGCTGCTCTTTCTTGCTTCTCCCGGGCTTTGGTATCTGCCTTCTGCATGGCATCATGCGCACGGTCGTCGTTGGTACCTCACCCGAAGGCACAGCTTGCACATCTCTATGTTGTTATGATTGGAGATATCCTGGAAGCGTGGAACTAAAGGGCTTCGCTTGGACAACACGTTATCAATAGTATACACAATATATATATATATATTATAGAGAGAGAGAAGGAAAAGAGAGAGAGAGAGAGAAAGATGGAGACTCCTTTTGTGGGTGCCTTCAGAGTGCACAAAGCCCGAAAGGTCAACATCTGCATGTTGGAATGGCAGGAAAACCCGCCATCGGGTGTACCTACTCTGATCCAGCTCTCAGGCTGCCAGATCTTCTCCCATCCGATCAGGCGTGCTCCAAAACCGATCACGTGGATCACGTGAATCGGAAAATCGCTGGAGCGTAGAATGGAGTCTCTTTTCTTGACTGTCTATCCATCCAGGAAGATTTTTTTCCCCCTTAATTGGAGGACAGTGACACTCAGACCATGTCCCACCCGCTCGAAGATGTCGCTCACTCGCAGGGCTTTGCGCGCTTGCGCGAACAACGAGCGGCGAAGGGAGCCAAGGGGCTCAGAAAGGCGTCGAAGCGCTCTACGTCTTTGTCTAACATCTGCTTGGACTTGTTCAAGGCCTCTCCCGTCATTGAGCCGACGATGAGAATCAGCCCTCTTGAACAATGGGGCTCATCATGGCTCATCTGCTTTCTACTTAGAATCTACTTGGTCCGTTCTCTCCCACTAACTTCTGGTCCCAAGCGTGTTCCTGGCCAGTAGGTCCAGCACAAGATGATGAAAAGGTGGTCATTGGATTCTCCTGCAATCTTCTTGGGGTTCAACCTCACCACAGCTGCAGTATCAAAATGCATCAAACAATATCAAAGACCAATTCATGGCAATCCAACCCAAGAACAACTGAAAAACCCATGATGGTGAGACTCCTGCGACCTGCGACCTGCCATGGCTCAACTTGGATATTCAGGTCTAGGTCTCTAGGTCCGATCAGCTGGCACAAGGAGTTCGGCCTCTTCCTTGTCTTTGGCTCTGGCGTCCAGCTTGAGAATCTCGGCTTTCTTCACATCTAAGCTCATCTGGACCAGGAACATCTCTCTCTTCTTGGCCACGAAGTCAGAGATGTTCTCCTGACACGAGCCAAGAACTCCCATCACCTCAGGAAAATCGCGAAGAACGTTTGAGCAGGGGACAACAGTCGTCCGGGCCTCTTGGTTTCCGATATCCACGGAATTCCGAACCGAACTCCGGTCTTCTGGCATCAGAAGGACCTTCCTGGACGGTGAGATAGCCATTAAAACAAGGTACAACATAGTACGACAACCAAGCATCTACAACATTCTACAACCACACCCACTGATGTTTCGTCCTTTCAACACATCTACAACCATCGGCCGGAGCAGATCGGAGCAGAATAGCTCCGCTCCTCCGCTCCGGCCGCTGTCTCGTCGGCGGGAGCGACCCCCCCCCCCGTCCTTGTCTCGGCGCGCATCGCGGCCTGGGCGTCGCTCGCATCGACACGTCGGACCCGACCGGAGCGAGGGCGGGGCGGGACGAAGAGCGGTGGGTCTCAGGTCGCAGGTACAGCGGTACTCGGTCTCCGACATGGGAATGGAGGGTTGGGAAGGGTCATTGAAGGGCCCTGTGGCAAAAATGGGTGACCTGCAGGGTCATTGAGGGTGCTGGGAATGGATCCAGGATCCTTACGGAAGGAAGTCTCATTCTCGATCTGCACCTTCGAGGAACTTGCTCGAGGCCCATGGGGGCAGGTCAGCCACCTTTCCGAATACCTCCCGTGAACAAATGGAATGTATTTTTGTTGTGGAGGCGGGGTGGAATGCCATGAAGAGACCAATAGAAAAAGAATAACAATACAGAAACAAAGGAAGCAGTATGTTTAAGATATCATTATCAGTTCAGGTGTCATCCTTTGCATCGTTTGATCATGAGGACTGCGATACTTCGCTCCTTTGGGAAGCACCAAGAAATGACAGACGGTCTTCAAGGAGAGTACAGACCAGGTCTCGGTGCCTTTTCACTGTAGGTACTGCGGCCTGAAATTCCAAGATCTATAGAATGAATCTCAAATCCAAGACCCCACACGCCCATCTGAGGCAAAGACTTGAACATTTTAAAACCATGTAAAACCTCACAAAACCTCACATCTGCGAATGGATAAGTCAAACCCTGCCAAGAAGTGGGTCAAGAGGCTGCCTGGTTAGATCTCTGTAAAGACGACATGAAGAGGCTGCCTTTCTTTGCTCCATGGACTTTGACAAAGGGCGGACATGTTGGAATAACCATTGAGAACCTCTTTGTGGGTATCAAATGACATCTTCCCGAAGTCACTTGGGTACTTAAGTTACTATAATTACTATAAGTAAGGTAAAGTTCCCATATAGAGCTTTGGTAAAGTTCCCATATTGTCAGCGAACCGTAGATTCAGAACCCGTTTCACCTGTGGAACCAGCTTTCGGATGTGCTACCGTCCGGCCGCAGATCTGGTGACCCCCGCAGCTCCCCGCGAGGTCAATGTGTGCACCAAGCAGCCCAAGCCCTCAGGGCGAACATCTGGACGCGCTGCTGAAGCGCCGCACGTGTCATCGATGTCCTCGGTGTCTGATCAAACGTGGCGCGCCGTTGGGGTGGCGCGCCGTTGGGGACCCTGAAGATTGACTGAAGATCGACCTCAAGATATCCATGGCATCCATATGTTTGGGGACCTGCGATCCAGGGCACCTCGGATTGGAGGGCTACGGAGGCTCTGCTTTTCTTTCTGTGGACACAAGGGGGATTTCTCTGACCCCATAAATATGTTGTTTTTCCATACATATTTTGACTTTTTTTGGGGTCAGAGAAAATCAAGGGAGCATTCAGATCTTTACCAAGGGAGCATTCACATCTTGACGTTTTTTTGGTTTTGAGATCGGACGTTGGTCTCTGGTAAGATGCCCACCGCACGTGACGGACGGCTTGAAGCTCTTCCGTGTCTTGCAAAGACTACCCTCCTGCAGAGAGTTGTGGAGAAAAATGCTCTTCCAGGGGTAAATCTTCAGGGTCTATGTTGCAGGGGGGTAGGCACACCCAGGACTTCACCGCCACTTGCACCCAGAACTTCACCGCCCCAACGAACTCACTGGAGGGTTTTCTTACCTTGGCTGTGGCCTGACACCGGTCAAGGGCCACAGAAACGAAACACTCCGGCGGTGAACCGGTCAACCGAACCAAACGGGCAGCAGAACACAGGGTCAAAAGGAACGGCCGCCACAACGACCGGGACAACCACATTACAGTAAATGCTTTGCTCGCCCGCGCTCCAGTTCCTTCTAAGATAAGAAGTGCATTGTCGCTGTTCAGGTCAGCTGACTGAGGCATCTTGCAAAAGCTGCACGACTTCATAGGTACCCTGGAAGTGACAAAGTGGAAAGCAGTGCAACCATCTTTGGAAAGCCACATCCAGCAGCATGGCATAGTTCAGCAGATGAGATGCGCAACTTGGAAGTGGGCCCCCCTACGTGCCTTCAGCAGTTGGCCCCACCGTCAGCCTTCAGCAACTGCCAAACAAGTTCAGGCTAGTGGTCAAGAGCTGCCACATGCAATCCATTCAATCCTTTGTCAGCAACAGTGGTGATGTCCGACCGGCCCGGTATGGATCATTGTCAGCTCCAGCCTCGAGCAACAGCTGCACTCTAATAGTTCGACAGGAAGAGGTGACCATGTGTAAGTCACAAGTCTCTCTTTGGGATCCTGTGGTCTTGGTCTTTGAAGCCTTCGCCGCTTGGAACCCAGTGAAACACCAGTTGGTTCTTGGTCAAAGCTGCAGGTCTTGGTTGCTGATGAACCACGACCTGACTTCTGTTTGTGAACCATCCACTGAGAGACCCACTCTCGGTGTCTGAAGCGGTCCTCCCAGCGACTCCGCGGCATCGACGGACCACAACTCAGCATCGACGGACCGATGAGGTCCACAGAAACGTTGCCCACCCATTCACCCAGTCCCCTTGGCAGACCGTTTCTGCCGGGAATGGACGTACGACCGGGCCCGCAGGAGGAGTCTATAAACACACGAAGACCGGGGCCCTGCCTTGGAGTTCTGGGAGAATAGTTGAACCAGTGTAGACAGACTGACAGAGTGCTGGCCATCCCTGCAGGATTCATCCTAGCTGAACACTGTATGAAAGCTGCTTATACCATCATACCGATACCCAATTTCCATGGCCGACCACAGCTTCACCAAGGTTCCAAAAACAACCAGGAACCACAAGGTGGGATGGTCCATGGCGACCTTGACCCTCCAGCAGATGGTGAATTCCCATCCAAAAACCATCAAAATACATCTTCTCACTCTCCAAAAACTGGATCCCCAAATCTGAGGTCTGCCCTCTCCACAGCTGCCCTTCCCAAGGCGTTGTTTTGGGCGTGGCCTTAGGCGTGGCCTTACCCTCGGTCCCTCCGAAAGCACCAGGTCGCATCGATACGGCGCGTACGGCTATGTCGGCTGGCCGCCGTCCTTGGTGCCGCAGCCGACGGCGACGGCGCGTGGCGCCGTAGAGCGCAGACGGGGAAGGACGGAGCAAGATCCGAGCTGTGGCTTCTTCTGGCTTAAGTCTTGAAAGTCTTTATGGAAAAGGGCGCAGTAATGGTGTAAATTCTTGGGGGAATTGGGGTATATACTTCTTGAGGGACTCAATGCCCTGGCCTTCCAAGAGCATTTTAGAAATGGCTGGGTTGGATTTTGTCGTCCAAACTTTTGGTAAAAGAATGGTTGTTCGGTAAGAATCATGACCATTACATACCATTACTGTAAACCATAGTACGTATACAATCATACACATAATGGTGGTTGGAATCCTAGGGCTTTCCATTCTGCTTCCCTTTGCACTGCATATTTACACCCGGTGGAGGTCGCAGTTGCTGTGACAAAAACAACACCCTCGGTCAGAACCTGTCGCTGTCGTGCCATGGTTGCATTGCACACTGAGTACAAGTAGTAAGGAATGGAATACTATGGAACCCTGGCATCCGGTACCTTTTGATCAGCCCGTGCTCATCTTGCTGTCATTCTTGTCATTGGATTCTCCTGGATGTGACCAGGGGTTTCCAGGTGGACAGCACTTTGGGTGGTCTACATCAGGAAAAACTGCCCTCCAGTCCATGGCATGTCCCTCCACCAAAAAGGATGCCGTGGAATTCGTCCCCATCTTTGGGGCACCTGAATGGCATTTTGGTCGGAGACCATCGCTCTTAGATTGGAGGCCATCGCTAATAGGTTGGAGGCCATCGCTCTTGGGTTGAGGCCATCGCTCTTAGGTTGGAGGCCATCGCTCTTAGGTTGGAGGC